ACTACTACTACTGCTACTACTAATTGTAATGCTTTGCTTTCCGTGAACGCCAAGTTAAGGCTCCGTGCGCACGCCGCCCAGCTCTCGACTCTCCCTGCGCAGCGTTTGGAGGCCGGAGTTTAAGGCTTGGGGCTTTAGGGTTTNNAGGGTTTATAGGGTTTATAGGATTTGGGTTTGTAGAGTTTAGGGTGTAGGGTTTATAGGGCTTAGGGGTGGGCTATACAGTGACAGTGGAACCAGCATTAGCTAGTGTGTTACTTTTGAGTCGAGTCTTATACGGTTGCTATTGATCATGGCCTCGCGTGTACCCCGTGTCTAGCCTTGGGCGTCCGAATGCCTATGCCGTACAGACGTTCACCCGAGACCGAAGTACCTATGACACCTCCAAGGCTTTAAGTGTTTGAAAGGTAAATGGACCCTTCGGGCAGGGTCTTTCGCGGAGAGATATTCTGCAAAGGGTCCCCAAGAAACACCCAGTTACAAGCTTCATTTCTGTTTGTTTATTTCAATAGATTTAGGGACCTTAATTGACAATCGCACGCACCCTGCTGCATGAATTCTTCGTCCCGAGTCCTGCGTCGTAGCCCTTAACTCTGCAAACTGCCAGAGCCCGTCAATAATCATACACTCAATACTTACAGCCTCAACCCTAAGGCTGGAAAAACCCAAGCCGAAGCACGATCAAGCCCCAAACTCTGTAAGTCCTAAGCTTGCCCTTAACCCAACCCCCCTTGGAACCTTTCTAAGACAGAGAACATTCGGATTCAAGCCCTCCAGCCAACCTTCATTGTCATTATCATTGTGACTGTTTTTTATGTTTCAAAATCCATCCCACCGTCCAGCAAGTACCACACGTTGCGTGACGGCCTTATCCTCTGGCGCCCGATAGCTCGAAACCTTGAGGTCCAAGTCCGAAACTCCTCAAACCATGAGGAACCCAAGCATCCGAGCAATCCCCCCAAGCCCAAGAAACGCATCAAAGCCCTCAGGACAAGTCTGAGCCCCTGAAGCCTTTTAGCAGCCCCAAAGGCCCCAAACCTCAAAGAACGATAAAGACAGCCCGAAATCCACCAAACCCTCCAAACCCTAAAGACCTGTCACCTCCCTCTCAAAGAAAAAAGAACAAGCCACGTCCGGGAATACACCTAGCACCTTAAAGGCTTTGTAAACCCTGCAAGAACTTTAGATCCAAAAGCCCAGAACCCCTTGAAGCACCTGTGACCCAGGAATCTGCGGAGGAGTTGTCTCAGCAGGCCCAAAACCTCGGTTGTTCGCCAAGCTTGGTCGAGAAGGCTCCAAAAGCTGTATACGGTGCACTTTAGGCAACTTTAAACTTGGAGGTTTGGTGTTGGGGGGTTTGAGAGTTGAGGTGCTTCAATGTCTGGGCTCTCCTCTCTCCTGTCTCCTCTCGCTCTCTCTCTCTCTCTCTCTGTCTCTCTCTCGCTCTTTGGTTCGGGAGGAGTTGATGTCCTGAAGTTTTAGGGTCGTAGGATTTGAAGATCCTTTGGATGGGGCAAGGGTTAGTTGGACCCGACCAAACGAAATGGGGCGGCGACGGCAATGGTTGCCGATAGGAACTGCGAGTCCGCTTCTACATCGCCTAGACTCAGCCCACGGTCCAGCATCAAAAACACGGTTCTAAACAGTTATAACTCGCAGCTTCCCTGTCCTCGAAGTCGCCCTTCAGTCCACAACACACAGATTTCTTCTGAGGAGTCAATATTGTGTGGGCCAGGTGCCCATGTCCCCACGCTCCTGCCCCTGCCAGTCCCAGCCTCTTTGCATGCAAAGTCAAAGTCGCTGGACTTGTAGCACGCTGCACCGCGCGTTGCGACCCAATCCTAAAGCCCAGTGCAACTCTACACCGAAGGCTGTGTGTAAAGTCTCCACCGCAAGCTGCAAGTCGATTTGGTGAGTTGCTATTCATGGGGCCCCGACAGTCTAAGACGCAGGGGCAGAGATTGAAGGTTCGGTATGTTGTTGAGAGTTGTTAGCCCTTGATAGGGATTATCGGCTGTTCCGAGCTTGAGTGTTAAACGGTGTTTTGAGTGTGTGTGTGTGTGTGGCATTACACAGCGCTCTGAGTGTGTGGGGTTATGGTCTCAGGGTGTTTGTTCTTTTTTGCCTTTTGGGAGACGGCTGTTGTTTCCCACGGTTCAACAATTCGTGAGAGTTGAGGGTTAGGGGCGGTTAGGATGTCGAGTCCGGGTGCACTTGCGTCTTGAAGCGCCTCCGACATATGAGGGCCCCAGCATAACCCCAACTTTGAGCCACGGTGATCGAATAAAGGAAAGCTTGGAAGGTCCGCGTTTGCCAGTGTGGGAACGTGCTGATGCAAGACGCGCACTTCTGCCGGAAGTGTGGGGGCAAGTGGGAAGGAGGCAGGGTCTTCAAGTTCGAGTAACCCACAATAGCTCGCAATTCTGTTTTTACCCTAAACCCCAAGCCTTATAATATCTAGTAAGTACTTGTATGTAGATAGGAGAGAATGCCCTAGAGCCCGTCTCCAATCATCGAGGCTCTCAGAAGTCACCCAGGGCTGCATTCCCAAACACCAAGGGCTTTGGGTTCCCACAAGCTGCCCAGGACTTCAATGGTTCAGGTCTTATGCTTACGAGGATCTTGGCATGGGTTTCCCAGAAGCCTCTCTAACCGTCCAAGGACTGGCAATACAAAACTCAAGCTTGGACTTAAGATTCGAAGGGCGCATGACCGGTGGGCAAGACTGTAACGATGTGATGTGCAAAGTATCCTCGTGAATGTCCTGGTGCACCCGAATAAGGACCACGAGTACACATCGCCGAGGTGAAGACCTTCAGTTCTGGTAAGGCTTTGAGAGGTTATGGGCTGCTGATAGCCGTGCAGTTGAAACAAGCCATTTGATACCTTGCCGGCGAAGTCCTGCACAATCCGAATAAACTGCCAAAAGACAGGCTTTTTCTGTCGCTTGCGGAACACAAATCCTGAATTCTCCCGCATCCCGAACAGAGATGAGCCCTGAAGGCATTGAGTACGGCAGTGTATTCTTGTTTCAAGTTCTTCACGTTGCTTTACTTACCAACTCTACGTGTGGAGCCTAAAATAGGTAAGGACATGGCGCGTGATGCTGTAGACTCTTAGCGTCTTGCACTAGCCGCGAGGGTGCCCACACGACACACCCCGAAGCTCCTCCCCTAACGGCGGCGAACTCGGCAGGTGCGCCGCCCGTCTCGGCAAGCTCTCAGACCACTGCAGCGCAGATCCTTTGTCCAAGTTGGGTTTTCGTTTAGAATCGCACGGGCTGCTTATGAGGTTTCCTTCGGGTTCGCTCCAGTCAGTGTGCTGACGGTGAAAGTGCCCTCTCTTTCGCAACTTTCGCAATAAGGAACCCGGTACCTCTGTTACGATGGAGGGTAGCTGGGAATTTAGGAAGAGATCAGGGCCAGAGGACTTGAGTTTCGGGTCTTCCGGTCTTCCTGTTTTTCCTCGCATGAGGATTGGTGTTAAGGTATTCCGCTCATGCAACGGGGTCTGCAATCATCGGAATCCCAGCTTCTGCTACATTGACCCCGGCTGCTCGATAAGTCAACGATGTAGTGCAGCAGGTTCAAAGAAGAGCGAAGTCCGGTGAGGAGTCACCAAAAAGATACCTGGTCAATATTTCGTGCATCCCCAAGCCTTAGCCCTAAGACCTTCGGAGCCCTCCGGACCGAGCATCCAAAAGCCAACCGGCATAGGAAGCCGCGAGATGTACTGCAGTATCGTTGGCATCCAAGGTACCATGTAGGAAGTCCTATGCGCCCAAAACTATGCCAAAACTATGCTAGGGTTTAGGGACTTGAGGAGTTACGAGTCTAAGGGTTGAGGGGCCAGGGGTTGTCTAGTCTTGTTCTTTTGTTTTGGGTACCGGGACCCTCGGACTGGTTTCGAACAAGGATCGTTGGCCTGGACTCGCAGATACACGAACTGGAGCAGGCTTCGGATCACTTGGGGGCTTGCGATTACGTTCTGTTCTAAGGGTTTATACGGTTTGAGATAGGGCATTTAAGCCATTTGAACAGAGTCTTGTCGGATATCATGGTCTGACAAGGTTTACAGGGACCATACCGGAAGTTATTCGTGTACAATTATTCCGGTCACTGTATGTTGGGGTCTGGGATTTAGGGATTCGTGACTTCAGGGCGTTTTTTTTTTGGGTTTGAAGGCTTCAGGGCAACTAGTGTTTCAGGACTTCAAGGGATTCAGAGATAACCCGGACCCTAAACTTTAAAACCCAAGATTCATGCGGTGGCTCTTGGGGGCTGAGGCTTCTGTCAATTTCTGGGATCGGAGGACTTCGGGGCTGAGCTCCATTTGGGGTTTGGACGGGAAGGGCTTTTTCGGGGGGTTTAGAAACCCGGATCCTTCAAGACATCCTCGGCGTGTACAGAACGTTATCATTCAGCATTTGCAACTGTAAGTGTTGGGATTCTTGCACTTTGGGTTTCTGGGAGTAAGGGTTACGATTGAACGGCATGAGCTTCGGCTTGTGACTTTGAGGATAAGTCTGTGCAGCAGTCCCGCCGATTTGTTTACCTAGCTGCTGCGTATCAGCCCGAATCCCTGCCCTCGTCTGTATCAGGCGCTTGGCGAGACAACTCGTGAGCTTGGTGAGAGCCGCGGGATGGAGGCAGCTTTGGGGTTCAGATACTTCCAACGCGGTTTCACAGCATCGAAGTACTCTCGGATTGGATGCCATGTGCAAGGTTCTTCATGTCACGACTGGTTCACAATAGAGAAGGCGAAGAAGCATGTTTGAAACTAGGCGCAGTCTTCTATTGTCTACAACGTCCACTGCAGTGATGTGTGGACCCAGGTAAGAAATCACGGACACTGCTGCCTTTAATGTCGGATGCAGGTTTTAGTTATTTTTCGGGTTCTGTGGCTTTGTTCATGATATTTCCTGCAAGCCTAACACAACTTCAATGCAACACCTTAACCATTACGCCGTAAAGACCCCATGGTTCCTGAAGATCGATATCCGAAGGACTGGGATATCGGTTTGTCTGGTGTGAGTTTGCTTCAGTGGTTTCCGAGGCCGATGGCCCTACTATGCCTTGAACGCAAAAGCCCTAGGGTTGGGTTGAGGGTTTGCCACGCCGTTTAGGATCTGCCAATGGGCCAACTCGGCTCCAGGAATTTGCTGAGACACAGAGCCCACATTACAAAGTACTTGTAGGATGTCGTAGGCTTTCTGCCCTTATTGGAGCCGACACTGCAAACCTGACAAACTATGCTACATCCTAACCTAAGAACCTGGGATATGCCACCTAAGCGGCACTTAAGCAGTACAGGGTTACACCAGACCCTACACCGGAGTTATTGTGTGGAGGTGTAGCGGTCTAATCGAGTCTCTGTGGATGTCATTGGAAGCTTAGACGCGGCTTTATGCCGTTTAGTACTTACCGTGAATCTTCCCCCAGGGCGACCCCTAAGCAAACCCCGAAACCCAGAAAGGCTCCTACCCGACGACAAACCCGAGCTGAACTCGCAAAAAGCCCTGGCAGAGGCCTTCCGCACAGAGAGCCCTCGCCTCGGGTTCCTCTTGAGGGGTTCGGGTGTAGCAATAGTATGAAGGGCTGGAAGAGTTTGTACAGCTATCCCCCGTATACTCCTTGATGTTGTTTATCTTATAATATACCTTGTAGATGCGTCGCAGATGGTTCAGGGTTCTTGGAGGCTGAGGTTTCTGAGTCATGGAGTTTCGGGGATCGAGGGCTTAGGACCGTCCGCTTAGGGCTTCAGGCTATTGGGATTGAAGGGGCCAGGCAGCCAAGGATTGGTTGTGAGGTTCCTTTTCGATTCCTGCAGAAGTGTAGGGTAAAGTAACCCGAAGTCTAAAGCATATTACAGCCCTGTCAGCCTTAAGCGTTCAGCCGCGAGGACCTGCCGAGTTCGGCGAGTTTTCTGTTGTATCATAGTATTTTGTACCCTAGTCTAGCCTAGCCTAGCCTCTTCTATTATGTGTTGTTGTTATATTCTGCTGTATTATACCACGCCAGGTTATGTTTCTTGATATTGTATTATGGTCTGATAAAGTTTAGTATAGCGCTGTCTAGTAAAGTATAGTGAAGTATAGTATAGTACAGTAAAGTGTCAGTAGTGTAGTGTGGCATAGTATAGGCTAGTATAGTATAATATTAGTACAAGATAATATAAGCTGAGTATAAGTATAGTAAAGTACAGCACAGTAGCAAACCGGAGTGTACCATAGCATATCGTAGTAGACAATGGCACGGAACGTTATGCGATTGTATGTTATGTTATATTATGTTACTGTGTGCTGTATTGGATTCTGTTGAGCTAAACTATACTCGACTAGACTCTACCCGACTCTACTATACTGCACTATACTGTACTAGACTATACTATGCTATGTTATATCATGCTGTGTCATGTTATTTTATGTTTCGTATTATGCTTGATACTGTTGCATTATGTTAATGCTCACTAAGCTGCATTATTATAGCCTTTCCGAACGTTAGTATGAGATGGCGTGCTTTACAGTCTTATCCCATGGTAAACTAACTTCTGCTCGCCTCCCCTATCTTGTTTTGTCTTATCTTATCTTATCTTATC